GTGTGTTGCCAGCAGAGCATGCGCTTCTCATGAGCAGGATGAGTGACCGTCGCAGACCCTTTTTCTCAGTGCTTTTGCAAAAGGAGTTTGATCGGGGCTGTGCTTCTTCAGTTGCTTTGTCACTATAAGCAGTACAGCATCAACCTGATTGTAACATTCATTATCCACAGGCATAACCTAAGCTACCGAGAAATTCCGTGTGAGTAGCGTAAGTTTGCTGCTTGAAGCTATGTGTAGTGCAGGGGCAAACCCCTCGGTGAGGCGCTATTCGGAATCTGTCTACTCCGGAGTCAAGGCAATACATACCACCGCCTTTGCATTGTACTACAGTTGCTAGCTCCGTTGACTCTGCAGGAAACCTTTCGAGCCGAGGTTGGAACCTCAGAGACTACGAAGCCGAAAAATAAATCTGAAACCCCAAGACCTACATCCAAAGCCACAAGCCCAAGACCCTGTGACCCTGTGCTCCTCGATCTGCTTTTTCTTCTCCTCCTCGGCCTCTGCCGCCTTGTTGGCCTCATCTTCCTGCCACAGTTTCAAGTGTTGGGGGTTTACGGTCTTGGGCAGATTTCTTCAGGCCTTCAAGGGAAAAGGAAAACATACTACAGGCTTGTTTGGTGCTACCATACTTTGGGACGCGTCTCGCGCAATGAGACACCTTCTCTTAATGGTCTCTCTCCTCCCGTCTCTTGATTGCTTGGCTCTGTGAGAGTCTTTGAGGGGCGATCGACCACTATCAACTACGCAATCTAAATTATCCAGTCTTGACCAGCAAACCTGAAACCCAGCCAAGGCGGCCGTCTGCCACCATGCAAGCGAAAACTGGTCGGCGGCACGCTGACAATCTTCATGGAATTGTCGCAAATCACAGCCGTGACCAGGTTGAGGATCACGTATTGCGACAGCGCCTGCGCTCGGGCATCGCTTTCGGTTTTCGGTGAAGAGTCCCAGCCCAAAAGCTCCTCGTGATGCTTCTTTAGCACGGTCTGCCTCCGAATACCTTCACCAAGGTCTCTTCCATTCCTGCCTGGAAGGAGAAGAGGAAGATCCAAATGTATGGCTGGCCCTGGCATTCTTCGGTTCTGTTGGAATGAAACTCGTACAGTACGCGCTGAAGCATACTTCCGAACTGCTTGTTCCTATCGACTTCATGAGCGATCTTGATAGGCACTGTGTAGATGCCTTACACCTTCCAAACACGCCTGTACGGAATAGGGTTGAAGCAAGCGCAACCCCTTTACAAATCTCAAACATGCTCTAACCCACGAACCACGGACAGGTCGTTGCAGGTGTGTTGGAAGATATGTGTTGCTTGACCCACGCCTCATGAATCCTCACCAGAAGTATCGGGACTGCCAGGATTCTGCCGTTGCCGCTAGTAATCCTACAAGTCTTAGTAATCTGGCTACCGCATACTACAACAAGTATGGTATGCTCTCGTCAGCGCCTCTGTGGGATATGGGCTAGAAGCGTCCACTGCCCATGGGACCTGGTAAAGGAAGGGATAAAAGGTTGGAGGTGTAGTGCAGGGTTAGCTGAGTGTGTCTAGAATTGGTAGAGGTTAAGGTGCTCAAGGGTGTCATTGGGTGATGGATGTGGGTGCGGAGGCGGAAGGGCTTGACGGGCACACACAGCTTTGTGGTTTCAGGGCTTTCAACATCCGTCGTCTGATTATCAAACCCAAGCAATGGAAAAGCAGAATTCCAATTCCGTGTTCTCGGCATGTTGTCGGGTCAGATCCGTTCGCTCGTCGGGCATTGCCAATGGGTTCTCATTATTGGGGGAGACCAGAGTTGCCCTTCCAGGAAATTGTTCGCATCCTCTTCTTTTGTATACAAGTGTCTTACGTCAACTAGTAGTAGATGCCTGAAATTACGTTCAGAGTGTTTCAACTGGCCTGCATCAAATACTCCACCACGTCCATTGCTCCGTCCGAGCTGCGAGCAACGCAGTGTTTAGCTTTGAGGCTTGGGTTCAGGGGTTGGGGTTGGTTGGGCGTTGAGGTTGCGAGTCAACATTGCGGTTTACTCTTTTGGGCGGCCGTGCTATCAAGTTGGATCCCCTGTAACGGGCATCCCAAGCATTGCAAATGCCTAGATTTAGGTTGCTTCCCTTGCAGAATGGAGTTTTCAAATTAGAAATTGGCATGAGAAGCTCCCAAGCGCAGCAGGGGTCAAATCTAAGGGCCTACTGAGCACAAGGTGTATGCATTCTGACTTTAAGCCATCGTACATCCAGATCTCATGCCACGGATACGTCCCCTTCACGAGAGCTTCTTGCGCTCCCTACGAGCGTCGCCCTGCATTGCCTCACTCCCGGAAAGCCTAACGCCAGTCTTTAAAGAGCTACCGCATGCAAGGCCTCATGAATCGGCTCATGGTGAACATCGCACTGCCTGGCGGCAATTGTTGGTCCTGCGATGTTGGTCCCCTGGATACGATGTTCTAGTCCGCTACATGGTCCTTCGTTTTCAAGTAGGTTGCAATGCAACAGGGCCTCTGGAAGTGATTGGGACGTGGGGTATGTACAAGATGACACAAAGAGCTAGAAGCAGAACATTCGTGTGAAAGTGGCATATCTCGAGGGTTGGCCATACATACTGACATACTTCTTGGACCATGCTCGTACTGCGCGAGATGAGGAGAGTGGGCATGGCATCGCACTATAGCACAATGTGGTATAGAGTTTGCTGGGAACGGAGCAGTGCAGGGCCTGGGTTCCAATGCGACCATACAAGTCTGAATGCCGTTCTCGCCGCGTTTAAATACTCAGGCTTTCGTAGTGCTTCAACAAAGACGCAGGCTCCTAAACCTGAACCCCTAACCCTGAAGCGATGGCGCAATACAATCAAACTAAAGCCCAACTCCAAAGCAGGCCAGGGAGACGTATGGAGATGAACCATCTCGGAATCGCATCCTGTTTTGATTCGAGGTGGCATGACACGGTGAGTTGGCAAAGTCTTCGGCGCAGGGGTTGCAGAGGCTGCGAAGCCCGGGCCGTGCTTTGAGAAACGTGTGCACAGCGCTTAAGGGTTGAGGTGGAAGTTGGAGCACAGTTTGGGTGCTACCTCTGGGCGGATCTACACTGAGGGCTAAGCTGAGTTGTGCAAATAAGCAAACAAATCGATGCAGACCAAATGCGAGGAATGGTATTGGAAGTTACCAGTTGAACTGCCGGCGGGTCTCGGCATGGGCCTGGGGGGTGGTGCTGTACTTAAGCCTTGAGCCTCATACTTGAAGCGACAGGTAACCTACCTGCATTACTTGAAGAATTCCATGACTGACCTATGAGATTAGGAAGGATAACATGTGAAAGAATACAAAATCCGCACAATCCTCACCTCGATTTGAAAATCCCCAGAACACAACCTTAGCGAAGAGGTTAACACTGGCAGAGCAAGTGACATCCAAAATACCAAGCTGCCTCTGGCTGATACGTCCAAGCTTCCGCGTAGCCAATCAGATCCACCTAGGTCGCCAGTTGATACCACTGAGAACATCTCAACTGCGTTGCTGAACAAAGGGTGGCACCTGGCGAGACCAAGCGTTCAACTTAAGAATGCAACTGTCGCGCAACAGGGTGAAAAAAGGAAGCTGAGCAGAGCGCAGCGATAATGGCAAAAAAAAGCCTGAGCGGGCAAGACAATGAATCTGAGCACTGGTCACCCTTGTAATGCAAGGTGCCCTGCTCTGACAGCCTGTAACACTTGGGGAAATCACGCACACCAGGACCCTGCATCATGCTGCAGAAAGACGTGCATCATGCTACAAGTACCGCACGAGCTGCTGCTCAATTGTTTTCCAACCCTCACGACAAGTCCACAGCTCATCTGGCAAAGTACAACTAAAAGAAGTTGACACTGGCGCCACCCGCTTTTGTTTGTCAAAACTGCGACTGTGAAACAACAAAAGCGCAGCGGAGGCACACGGAAGTCGCCAGCAGCAGGCAGGACCAGAACAGCGTCCCTGCCGATGCGAACCTTCGCTGTGCGTTCGTTCATCGAAATATGCCGTCTCCAGGCAAGACTGCGATAGGGATGCTAGGCGCTTCCCGCCTTATGATACCCTGACTGACCTCACGAATCTCGATCGTACTGGCATTAGATAACTCTGCCTGCACCGCATCTGCAGAGCTGAAGCAGCTGCTTCCGCTACAGCAGCCTCTCAGACATGCCAGCATTTGGCCGGCCTAAACAGCTGTGGCCCCGGCAGTCCTGAAAGGAGAAGCCAAATGACTTTGAAGCCCTGATGCAAGGCAATAGTAATAATAAGAATAATAATAATAGCAAATAATAATAGTAATAATAATAATAGCAATAGTATTAATACTAATAATAATATCACCAAGCATTCCAATGGCAGATTGCAAACGTGGAGCAACAGAGGCAGTGCCTTGACATTCTTGATCGTGTGGATGACCTTGCCAATTCGTAGCATCCTGCATGCGAGCAGGATGCTTCCACACTGGATTGTTGCTTCACAGCTTTTCTATCGATACCACTGCGCAAGCCTTGAAACCAAGATGGCATTGCCTGATTTCCATGGGCTAAATACCGGCTTCTTCTGGAGAGTCACCCAGGTCCGGCCTGATGACGATTCGTACCTTACTTTTCCGTGCAAATGGTCAGCATGACAATCTAAACAACACTCTAGAAGTGGGTCACCAAAATTCTTTGGGCTACTGATCAGGCGAAATTAAAACTTTCACACTTCGAAGAAGCTTGGGAGACACTCGCTCTGACAATCCCCCTTCTCCGTTCTGACAGAAAACATTTTGCCGAGGAAATGAGCCCTGCGCGATCTCGACTGTGTCGCCCAGAGCAGCAAAAAAGAACGGAGCCCACACCTCAGACAGCACTTCGGTTGGCGGCTAGTTTGGTCTGTGGTGGTGGCCTACCTACAAGAGGGTCTGAATGCACAGACGAAAGACTGCGCAAGCATCCTCATTGTGACATACCTAAACCACGCCATCAATAGCTTTGGCTCGAAGTTGAGGAACACATCACCTTCTGACTTAGGTGCTCGGGGCCAGGCAGCAACCGTGAAGAGGATGTTGAGGGTCTCCTGACAGCGCTCAGATCGCTCAGCTGCAAAATGTATTTCATCAGAGATCCCAACCACTCAAATGCAACTCCGAACTGCTTGTGGCTGTCCACTCTTTTTGCCAACTAGCTTCCGGTAATGGCAGTTTTTACACAAGCTACCCTTCCAGCATCTCCTGTACGAGATTTGCAGCTCCATCGTAATCTCCCATAAGCCATAGCATGTACCGGACATCAACACCCATGCTGCGAGAGTAATCCTTGCTCCACTTGAACTCGTTCATAAGGCCGTGACGTTGCCGATCGAAGTTGATTCCCACAAGCTCTCCTTGTGCGTTCATGACCGGGCTCCCTGAGTTACCACCCACCGTATCAGTCGAATACAGAAGGCAGACAGGGACCTCTTTGGACGTCGAGCCTGATGATGAGAGCAAATCGTATAGCCGATCCGGACAACTGAACTCCTCCATTCGTTCTTGATCCTTACTGAGCTTTGCCTCCACAGCCTTGTCAAACAAACCAGCCAAGGTGGTTTGTGGTTTGCAGAAGACAGCATCAGCAGCTTCGTAGCCTTCGACGAAGCCTGCAGACAGTCGCAACGATCCATTGCAGTCGGGATACATGATCTCACCATCACTGTGCTCGCGTTGAAGCTCGAGCAGCTTGGCAAACAATGCATCTCGTTCACTCAGCAACGCCTTGGATCGATCACGGTTGCTGGCATACGTCTTCCACAAGGCAGCTGCGCACTTGACAAAGGGGTCTTGAAGTAGCTTCATCTGCTGATCCTTGGTAGTCGCATTAACATCTTCAGCGAAGATGGCCTTCAGCAGCTCGGCATCTCGCAACGCTTGCAACTCAGATTTTTGAACAGTCGAACCCATATTCGAGGAAGTCCCTTCAAATCCGAAGGGCTTCATAACTTCAGCAAAAGTTGCCTTCAGTTCGGGAGTCTTCTCCAGAGTGGACAGCGCATCATTGATAAGTGCCACTTCATGCGGTTCATGCATCTCACCCAGCCGCTTCGCAAGTCGCTGAGCCAGAAACGGAAGATTGCGTTGCCGGTAGGACGACTCACGCTCTCCATCCGGCTTGGGAGATTCGACCACGAGGTATTCGTGCATGGAGTGTCCCACTGCCAGCAGAGCACTGCCGCAGTAAATCCCCCGGCAGGCCTCCAAGGCATTAGACACGCTTTCCATGGCACGAAGCTCGTCATAGATTTCAGCCAGGCGATCAAAGGCCTCCTTGGCTTTGGGCCCAGCCTTGGCACAAAGAGCCTTCTCTTCTTCTGAGCGCTCCTGCATCAACCCCAACTTCCGCATCATGACCAATTTGCCCTGACTGCGCTTGTACTCGTTGGCCAAGCCCTTTTTGCTGTTACCCAATTTCAGGGCTGCTTCATCCGAGTCCTTCTCGTACTGTGCAATCAGCTGGAGCTTCCGTGCAAAGTCCGAAACCATATTCGGGACAGCAACTTCATCAGAATAGCGGAGTCTGGAGGTTGGTGCATATCGCATGGTGTGGCCTGGAAATCCCAACAGAAAGATGAAGTCGCCCTCGGAAGCACCTTGCTTCTGAACTTTCAGAAAAGACTTGGGCTTGTAGGGTACGTTTTCAGCTGAATATTCAGCAGCCTTGCCATCGAGACCCACATAGGCTCGCAACAAAGTAAAGTCGGCAGTGTGTCGCGGCCACTCGAAGTTGTCAGTATCGCCACCAAAGTTGCCTAAACTCTTTGGCGGGACATATACGATCCTTACATCCCTGATCCTTTCGTAGGTGAACAACACATAGGATTCGTTGGGGAGCATCTCTTGTACGTCACATCGTTTCCCACCACTTCCCGACGAATCATCCTGCTGTTGGGCAGCTTGGGCAATCTCTTGCATGACATCTCGAACACGGTTGGCACGCTTGAGTGGATCTTGTTCCGACCCAATCACTTTGGTGACCTCGTCCGACACATCCTTGCAGGATTTTGTAATCCATACCTCGTAGTTCGGGCCTTGCAGCTCTTCCTTCAACGACTTGGCCACAAAACCATCCCGTACATAATCTTGACTGCATTGCAAAGAAGCCTGTCGCACGGCATCGTATGCAACATGCCAGTTGGTCAAGATCAAGCCATGAGAGGAAACAAAAGAGCCTGTTCCTCCACGACCGGCTGCACCCACTGAGACAAGAGCATCGGAAAAGTGAGAACCTCCTGCACTAGATGATGTTCCATCAATGGCATCCGCCGATACCTTCAAACCCATTTTCTGCAGCATGGGCTCCAGAGATTTCACAGCTGTGATGGGCCATGTCCGAAACCGTGGAGAGGAGGCCACGCCAGATGCCACAGTGGAAACCGCAGCAGCAGTCGCCATGGTCACCGCAGCGATGCTTAACGTAACAGCAACTAAAATACCCCCGGGAAAGGCGTGAAAGGCACGCACAAGACAGGAACGGACACGCAGACAAACCCCAATTGCTCCGAGGAGCTTGGACACCTGCAAGTAGTCGCACACAAAAGCAGATGGAATTGGATGTGCACTTAGATCTGAGGCCACTCATGGAGCACGACTACACCTGGAACCTGAAATGCCATGGGGCGGGCGATTGTCAGAAGTCCACGCCAGGAATTCGTTAAGTGGGCCCTGTACTTGATTACTTGATTGCTGGATGGAACACCGGAACACCTGCCGCTCGGACTACCACAACCATAACATTGCGCTCACACCGCCTCATCGGCATTCAGACGGACAACTTGAACTGCTTACGAGCACCATGCTTGCAAGTTCATCATCCACGGACAACTCTCCTTCAGCCACAGAGCGCCGCCGACAATGAAGCGAAGCGTCTGGCACATCACACAGGCAGCAACAGTTACGCTACCAGCGGAAAGTTCAGGTAGTCATCCTGATATAGCACTGAAGTATGCTGAAGTCAGCAAGCAGCCCACATAACGACACCACACAAAAGAAGCACAGTCTGCTCTAAGCCAAAGCCCCGAGGCCAAAGCCCACTCTACCACGAAGGATACGTTGATGAGCCACGTGCAGACATCAATCCACCTGGAAGCATCCCTGACTTCTGTGATCGAGCGCGCAAGGCACGGATTGAGTTCCTGGCACTGGCTTGGGCACACTGCCGTTTGGATCCCAGATCTCTGCCTGAGGCTCATGGGGGTGAAAGAAGAAGGGTTTTGGATTGGAGAGACCTCACCTCCTCAACCCTCCTCACCCTCGGGCCTCAACGCCCATGATGATCGCGCTAATGAGGATCGTCAGCGTCGACTTGGCAAGTGCCGAATGGGCGGTTCAGCATCAAGCGCGAGAATACGAAACAGTATCAAAGGCCAGCCAACCCGGACTCAGGCCGCTGCCGCAATGTCAAAGTACATGTTCCGGACCAGCGGCTTCAGCTGCTTTCTTAACCTGAGGGCCCCGCATTCAATCATGACTATAGGGACATGCGATATTCTAACTGATAAGCCCTGAAGTAGACCGCGATAAAGTCTGACAAAGTGATCTCGGAGTCCCCGCGCTCCGCCTTCCACACCAGCTACATCACATGCTAAGGTCTTATACTTTCTTCTGGATAGTTATCTCCAACTCCTGACCTATACAAATCCCAGAAACCTACACCGTAGATCCCTGCATCCTGATTCACCAAAACTCCTGAGCTTGCCTTCTGAAGGTCTTGTTGTAGCAGGTGTTGTAGCATGGACGGAGCCAGCGAGGGACCCCCAGCTCTTTCCTGGCCAGAATTCTGGACCCCCCTTCAGCTCTCCAAGAACAGGGCCTGGAGTCCAGGTTTGAATTATCCGGCCCATGGTCCTGCTTTGAGCTGGCTTCAATGCCAAAGCGATAACTGTACGAATGATGATGACGGCCGAAGCACTATGGAAAATGGATTCTCACCGGAATAGCGTCATCACAAGCTTCGAAAGACAAAGTACGGCAGGCACCAGGGCCTTTCCTGATCAAGCATGGGCTCCCCCACAATCTTGTGCTGATGGCCATCACAATCTCGTCTCAGTTGAGAAAAGGGGCCAACTGTTGGGGATTCCGGAGCGGTAATTGAGGCTCGGAATAGGGGCTTAGGGGGAAGGCACTCTTCAGACATAGGTACGCAGTTGATCAGCCCTGAAAATAAAAATGAAATTGAAACTCATCTTACCCTGGAACCAAGCCTTACACCTTGGGCCCTCAAAGTTACCACAAAAGAGGTTCCCATATGGACCCACGGACAACTAGGCAGTCCTTCTCGAGGCATCCTGGCAGTGTGGATTTGAGCTTCTGCCAGCTTCGAGATCTTGACGCAAGAGGTTTTAAATATACAGCAAGTCTAACAATGATGTCTACACCACACCATGGATCTGAAAGCCACAGCCATACTCAAAATGATGAAGTCTTGAGGGAATTGTGTTTCACATGGAACGCTGATATTAACACACCGGCCCAGAGACACAAAGCCTTGCCTGGAAACAAAACTTGCGATATACTGCTGGACACAACTAGGTAGTTCCCAAAATTCTGGGTACCCTTTTGGGGGTCCCTATAATAATGACTATAGTATTTTGGGGTCTATATTGGGGTCCCCTTATTTTGGGAAACTACCAACTAGCACCGGTCCTTGAAGTCGTAGCCTCAGCGCATCAAACAGATCAAAGGCTTGCCCACTAGCAACTAGACCGGCCCCACCGTGAGGCTCTCTAGGAAACGCATATTTCTTCTCTACATACGTACAGCTCCTGAGACTAAATCAGATCCCCCTTGCTGGGCTCTGTATTCCGCAGCTAGATTAGTTATGCACCACAAGTGTTCAGAAGTTATCGCATCGCAGACCCTCTCAAACCTGAGAATCCCAAAAGCTGAAACTTCTGAAGGAATGCGCGATTTTCCCCCAGTGTCTTCCTACTGCAAGATCGACCTTATCATTGCCAGCAGGTGGCTCATGCTGTCGGTGGCCAGGGCCTGTGCCAAGGCCTGTTCACCGGGATGGGCTCTTGAGAGGGTAGAGGATTATGGCTTGCTGTTCCGTGCGCTAGGGCATACTGGGGCTGAGGGTAAGCGACGTTCCGCACATGGATTGAGCTCCCTAGAAGATCCTAGAAGCCCTACGTAACCACTGTACAATCCCTACAACCCCGATGCCACAAACAGAACACAGCTTTTGCCGGGTCCCGTAGCCTCCTCCTTGGCCTCTTCGCGGGCATCGGCCTGACCAAGAGACTTCAACCTTTAGGAATTGAATATATGGTTCATCACCGGGGATTACATACTAAAGGGACTAATGTTTGGGTTCAGGCTTCTCGGCCAGCCCCGCGCACCAACTTTAGAAACCCATGCGGTCTCCTCATCCTGCCGACCAATGGCCAGAGACTTCCTGCAGCTCGCATCAAGTCACCCAAAGCAAACATCTTCGGGCACCAACCCATTTGGCATCACAGGAAAACAAAGTTGCGGCACCAGCCTATCATAAAATCGGAACTGGTAACTAGCACAAAAATGAAGCAAAACATGCTTCTCGAATACTGAGAAACCAGGATTCTCTTTCAACGGCTCGGCAATCAGAACCCGGAATCTCTGCTACTTTGCTCTTGAGTGAAGCTTGCGTAAAAATCATATGAGCGGTGCCCAAAACCTTACTCCCATTTCATTTCCGGAAAAAAAATGCTTACAGTAGCTTACGTTTTCCAAGCTTTTGCTTACGACAGGACTTGTTGTTGTTTCTGCTTTCGGCGCATATGCCGGCTTGCTGCAGCTGCTGCAGCTGCAAGGACAAACAACACCAACAAAAGCAACAGCTTACGACGCTTATGGCAACAGCGCTGCCACAGAATTGCTTACGACGCCTTACGAAACACAACGCTTTGCTTACGCCAAACCTTGGCTCAGAAAGCTCCTGTCTTTTCTAAATAAGGAGGGTTTTGATCTCTGCTCATATCAGACTGCATCCACTCCATCACCCTAATGAAGACGTGAACCTCAAGCCTCACATGCATCCAATCGTTCCGGGCGTATTGTTTGGGTCACAGAACGTTACTCTTGGCTGATCCATGGCCTAAACGGACACCAAATACATGACTTCACTTTTTGAGGAGGGGAGACCTGATGCGACTTTCCTCTGTCACCGCAGTCCTCTGCTTCTCAGCCAGCTGCGTAATGCGCTTTGCCTCGCAGGCTGCAGTGCAGAGAAGCCATTTTGTTACTAGCAGTTAGGGAACTTGGCATGATGCACTCCCGCCTTCTCCGAGTCCATGGTGCCCATCGGGCTCAAGCTAAAGTGTAAAACAAAGTGGGGAAGTGAGGCTGTCTTTGCACCTCCGGATAAAGGAACACCCTTCATGTTCTACTTCCCTTGATGCCAACACTTCGCCATCCCAAACACATGGCCATGTCTAGACAGGGAGCCATCAAACGAAGGCAACATGAGTTTGCAGCACAGCTAACATCCGTCTCACCTTTGCAGAAAAAAGAGGGACCCAGAATCCCTCACCTGCGTACGACATCTACAGCTGTTCAGGCGCACGAGCTGAGCAGGCCGCGATCCTCTGAGCGCAGGACCTGGGTCACAAATTATGCAGGAAAGGTCTTGTTGCTTTTCGCTTGCCCTGAATTGCTCCTTCCTTTCTGCTGCAGCATTCGGTTCTTGAGTGCGCCGGCGCTTTGTGTGCGAAGTCTCGCTGACATGCGCATGCCCGGCTCCTTCCGCAGCTTCTGCACTTCGCTCCAGGCTCTCTGCAGATGTATCGGCTTCAAGCATCTCTACCAGCTTTGATGCTCGCTCAGACTGCATGTAGAAGCTCCACGCAATAACCCATTTCACATTCCTACCCTGGCAGATCTCAAACCTGCGACGTTTAGCACCAAGCTCACCCAGGCGTTGGTGGATTGGCTTCATGGATGACTGCCTAGAAAGCAGGCTCGAGTACCACAGGCATGCCAAGCGGAAGCGAGGCCGTGAACTTTCTTCCACCAACCGCAGCACGAAGCCCACTTCGCCACCCTCACAGCAGAGCTCTACCTCCTGACCCTGGTAGTTCTTCAAGTCTGAAACCTGTCTGCCCTTGCTCAAACGCCGCCACTTCGCGGTCGCAGCTTTCTGCGCATGGTCCAGCGTCTCATGGAAGGGCGGGTTGCAAATGGTGAAGGCGATGGACTCACCGCGGAGTAGCACTCCTGGCAAGATTCGGCTTGGGTCCTCCTGTCTTCGGAGGGACACCTGCCGTGTCAGCTTGTTCGCTTGCAGTATGGCTTCAGCGTTCTTCAGCGCAACTTCGTCCACATCACTGGCTATGAAGCTCCAGCCATACTCGCGCAATCCTATCAGAGAATAAATGCAGCTTGCTCCTGTACCGATATCGAGACCACGAACGGAAGGTCCAGTAGCCTCGCCATCAGCCAAGGAAGAATTCAGCAGATCTGCTAGGGTGTGCACATAGTCGGCCCTCTGGGGCACGGGTGGGCAAAGGTATCCAGCAGGCAGCCTCCAGCTCTGAATCTTGTAGAACTGTGCCAGTAAGCTCCGAGTCAACTCTTCGAGGGCCTCCTCATTGGAGTAGTCGATCGAAGCACCGCCCCAAGCGTTTACAAAGACAAAGCGCTTTAAGCCCTTCTGCTGGGCTGCCAGGTCCCGGTAGTCCAAGTAGTCCCGGTGCTTGTTCCGTGGATGCATGTGGCAACTCGCACACCGAGATAAATGCTTTCAGGGAGAGGCAGGGATGAGGGCGAGGACTGAATTTATCCAAAGCTATGTCAGAGCTAGTCGAATACAAGTGCTGACCGTTGCGTGGCTGGTATTCTCACCTGTTGGGGATTAAAACACTATCTTCTGAGAGAAATCCCAGGCAGCTGCGTTCAGAAATGTCTGCTATGGAACACCTTCATTGGTCTACGACATTGCCTATCATGCAACATCTCCGGTTACAGAGTCTTTCTGCCTTCAGCCATCTGCGCCCTGTGCCCTGCACGACAGCAGTGTACTGTTTTAAAACTCAACGCAGCCCATGTCCATGAGGATTGCTTGCAAAGCAAGGGTCATCATCACACGGAGGTGGGCTCTCCCAGGCAAACTTCCAGGAGATGAGATGGGAGCAACCCAGAGCATTAACTAGCCAGACTGGGGTCACCCCAGTGGCTTAGGCCAGCCCAGCGCTCAGCCCTTCATGAATTTGGCCAACGGAACCGGCTGGGTTGGCCTCGGCAGCTCATGCTATCAGAGAGAAGTCTTCAGGTATGGTCTGCTGCAATTGAACAGAACGCAGCCTTCATCCTCCGGAGCTTTGAGCGTGATTCGCATGTGCTCAGTTGAACAGAACAGCTGTGCAGGGTGCAGTGCCAGACTGAATTCTTCAGACTCCGCGCACGCGGAACGAAGGACTCTTGCGGCACTGCAGAGACCAGGCCTAAAAGACCCTCATGACAGTTCCGTGGCAACCCCAGCCACATGGTAGTACCTTCTGTCAGAGTTTTAGATACGATTCCTACCAATGAACACTCCGACAAAAACATTCCTTTAAATCCTAACCCTGAGAGCAGGCTCATTGTTCCAGCGAGTCTGCACACACTGCTGTACATCTTAACCTTCAACTCTCAACAGGATCTTGACTTCAAAGTCCACGTGAGACTGGAAAGTTCACACTGCAATCAAATGCGCAACACGAGGGAAAAGCAAAACAATGGGCTTGTCTTGGGGAGCCGGGATGCTTGGGCTGAGTCAGGGATCAGGCATGGTTGTGGTCGACTAAAAGGTCACAACAGGTCTAGAAGAGAAGTATCACAAGTTGCCGAATCCCTGAAGGTACCGCCGACCACGCCCCCCAGCAATCCAAAGCAATCCAGCTGCAATCTTCCTGTAAAGCAAGGCCCCGACCCTGTGCTAGCTGAGACCGCCGCAAGCCGTACTTCTGTGCAGCGGCCTCGCCGTGCACCTCCACAGTGTAGTTGGCCTGCGCCTTGCAGCTCATCAAAGGATTGCGTGCAATCTTGTTCACAAGGACTGTGATGCTGATTGCTTTGGTTGCCGTGGCTTGCGGTGGCTGTGGCAGTCGCGTGGCTGCCTGGGCTTATACTGACGTCCAAGCCAAAGATCCTGTAGCAGAGCCAGGGCCATGAGAATCCAAGTTTCAACCGCCCACTGTAAGTTGTTAACCAAGGATTGCGGCGTAGCGCCCTACGTGCAGCCCGACCAGTTACAGACACGTTGCGTAGGAAGGGGAGGGGCGGTAGGAAGGAAGCACTCGACACAAGTTGGCTTTTCAAGTTGATTTCACATCCTGGGGGGTTGTTCATGTGGTCAGATTCGAAACAAAGGGCCTTTAGATTCTACAAGCACGAGAAATGTGAGTGTGTAAGGCAATATCCATTTATGCTCTCTCCCTCTGTCTTTCTCTCTACCAAACCTTGCCTCTAGACCTCAAAATTCGAACCGCCACATCCAGGCCCCGCAGATATATACCCTGTTATACTATTTTGGTAGTGTGCATTTTCCTTTCCATTATCCCTATATAATCGCAATATATAGCCCTAACCCGTAACCCAGAATCACTTCAGCGCCTCGCTCTTCCAGTAGATGGGAGGGGGGCCTCCGACCTTGGTGCCAGAGCCTACACCCAGCTGAGGCGAAGAAAACATTGGCACTAAAAAGACCAACAGAAGCCATTATCAATATGACCATATGGAACCAACAAATATTCACCATATCCCATAATAGTGAAGCAGCAATGGTGCCACTTATACCGCAAAACACACCAAAAAAAGTCGCCGTAGCATACTATTGGCCATGGACTTCTTTCATTTCAGATTTACGATTAATCAGGTACCTTACCCTGGTGTTCATCTTCTGGCGAGGCATCGGTCTTGGGGAAGTGGATCCATCCAGAAGACACAGTAAGGTCTTGCTGCATTGGGCTCCCAAAATATTTCAAGCACTCATGTTTGAAGATGCTTGAAGCTCTTCTCTGCTGTCTCGTCCACTTTCTGTACGAACCAGTGTAAGCTTGCCTTGCGGCAAAGAAATTGCATCGCACAAATGATGGGAGTGGTATTGTTGTTGGTCCTCCCTTAGGTCACAAGTTCAGCCCCTGTACAATATAAACATGGATTCATTTCCAGGACGCCTTCGCAGTTCCATGCTTAATACAAGCCCAACCCCTTTTCAAGTGCAACCATTTGTTCATGTCGTCTACAAGGGAAAACACGCGAAAACAATCGATGGCAGTGAGTGACGTCCATTGGCATCGGGGCGGGACCTTTGGCAAACCAGTAGAAGCCGCCACAGCACATTTTAATTGCAACATTGCAACATGCCTCAAATGCATGAACCTCCTGCAAAAGGTTCATTGCTCAGTGCCCGGCAAAGTTTGACTTCAGGTCGTCGTCTCCCGCCACAAGCTTCTCAATGGCTCGCAGTGCTCCCTTTGCCATCCGGATAGGGAAGGGGATGCAGGGTGTAAGAGGTGAGGAAGCAGGATCGAAACAAGTTGAACAATTGCAATTAGAAGGAGAACACACTGCACAAACCATAGGTTGCAGCAACGCGGACAGGGGTTACAAGGGCTCCAAACGGCCGCCTGTCCCTGGGTCGCGCTGTAGTCCTTATTCATGTACCCGCCAAGCTTGTTGTCCTCCTGAAAAGGTGCAGGCAAGAAAGATCCTTCGTCCAGGTTAGTTCTGCTGATGCTCGCCTAACAAGCAACTTACACGAAACTAAGACCATGGCAGTGCTACGTTGATTTCCAAAGTTAATTGTATTTGCTGGACCTCTTAACCCTAGACAGTGATCACAGCATCCAATCTTTGAAGTTCGCGGAAATTACACTGCAAGCGTGCAAGGGCCGACAAGGAGAAGGTTACACTTTTCCCGCTATTGCCCTGGCACCTCCAGTGCGCGAGCGCGTGCGATCATGGCCCAGTACTTCTCCTGCCATACAGAAGCGGCTGGTCTGACAAACATTATGAAATACAGCTCAAGCTGTCAGACGGTACGAATGTACATGAAGGATAGCTTCCATGTATACAACAAATACACCTTGGTGGCTTTGACTGTATGCCTTGCCAATTCAGAACCCAAGCTCAGGCCCAAAACATCTAATCTAGGCGTCAAAAGCGTCCTATTGAGCGAGGACCCAAATCCGACACCATCTCACCAGTATGCATAGCTGTGCTGCACAATCATCTTCTACGGCACTTTCTACGTTTGGCATTCCCTTCCTCCCTCTCCCTCCCTCGCTTGACCATATGCGCACTGCCTGGGACAGCCGCTTGCGTTTCTCAATCTTCTCCTGCAAGGGTGAGGTCAAAAGATTCTTCCTTTAGGGCTTGCATATCAAACAGAAGCCTTCGGGGAAACTACACGAAACAAACTTAGGGATCAGGCTGCCGATATTCTTCCTCACTGCCGAGTCGAACACACAGCGAAACCGGTTTGAAGAAAGCAAGCCACGGAATGATAATGCGTACTGAAAGACTTTGAGATAGGAAGGACCGCGCTGAGTCGTCGCAGCCCAAACATCTAAACCCCAGAACCCTAAATAGTAGTTTCCATTTTCTTTACCACTATCCTCTGATGTAGTATAGTAGTTTCCATTTTCTTTTCCATTATCCCCTAACATAGTATAGTAGTTTCCATGTTCTTTTTCATTATCTCCTAATATAGTATAGTGGTTTCCATTTTCTTTTCCATTATCCCCTAAAGTAGTACAGTAGCTGCCATTGTCTTTTCCATTATCCCTTATTACGGTATAGCAGCTTCCATTGTCTTTCCCATTATCCCTATACAACCCCCCTAAACCCTAAACCCTAGTAGTTTCCATGTTCTTTTCCATTCTCCACGAATATAAAACCCAGAATCTGAGCTACAGCCTTGCAATCCGACAGAGTCCCTGTAGCCACCCTAGTAGATTCCTAATAATGCCTCCCCCTAATATGGTATATAGGGTTTACTACTATGTTCCAGGGTTTAGGGCTGACATTAAAATCTTGACTACCCCAGTATGCTATGTTTTTACCACATAATGGTAGTATTTAATATTAGGGTGGTTTTTAATATCAGGGGGAGATCTCATGCAAAGCACTAGGAGAAACCCATGAATGCAAGCGTCAGCTCCTTACATGCTCTGCAGAAACTGTACAGGGTTTTTTGCTAGACTCCGAATACCCCCCAAAGTGCTTAAGAAACACGACACCTACAAAGACACCGATACCTGCAAATCTCCACCCACGACCTTCTGATGGCATGGCTAAACATCCTGGTCACAACAAAAGACGAACGATCTAGACTGCACCCACCTTCAAGAGAGTCTTCCTGCCTGGGGCCTACGACCTGAGCCTTGATCTCATGAGTCGATGAGAAAGGTAAATCAAGCCAAGATGGCAAGCATAAGTATAGAATTGGGATGAATTGGGCAGGCATAATTTAGACATATCAGATCTGTTACAGGAAAACGCCACGAATCCTAGATTTGTTTCTCGCCTGAGCCCGCCGTGCAGCCCCACCTTCCTCTGGAAGGCTTGCCTGGGCAGTGCAATACAAGGGAACGCTTACAGGAACACGCTCAAGAGAATATGAGGATTGTACAGGGGATATTCGCTGCACTACTAGTGAATCCAGGCTCACTCTCTGTTGGCAAGTACTAGCTACAAGAAAACCCAGCAAGTCTCGATGCAAGCTAGCAG